CTGTGCATCGTTGGGTGTGACCCAAAAAGCCAAAAAAAAAAAGGGAGAGGCAGAGTTGGGGAGACACTCAGACTTGACATGCTTGACATGCGGGAGTCCCAGGGTGGGTCCCTGGGGCTGCTCGATCTCCTGAGTACTGCTAGGAATGACCCCGGAGCACTGAGCCAGAAATAGCTCTGAGAATAAGTAACCCAATTCTGCTCAGACAAAAAAAAAGAGCCAGAAAGATAGCACAGTGGAGACGGTGCTTTCCTTGCATGTGGCTCACCCAGGTTCGATCCCCAGCATCCCATATGGTCTCCCTCACGTCACACCAGGAGTAATTCCTGAGTGCAGAGCCAGGAGTAACCCCTGAGCATCACCGAGTATGGCCCCCAAAATTAAACAAAACAAAACAAAAAAACATGCAGTTTGTACTGTGTCTGTCCTGCAGGGTGCCCAGAGGTTGGGGCTGTGGCTGCAACTGTACCCCCCCCATGTGCCCCAGAACAAAGACAATCATCACGGGAGCCGGGGATACAAACATTGATCCGCCTCCACCCCCATCTTGTACCCACACCTCCCTCTTGTCTGGGTTTCCCAAGTGTTATTGCCACATTGTCCCAGCTCAGATGCCCCCACATCCAGGAAGTCTTCTCTGACTGTGAAGCAAGGCTGATCCCGTGTCCATTCTGGGCTCCCTTCCCCCCACCCCACAGCCATGCCTACCCTGGCTCATTGCTCTCTAGGCTCATGTCTGTCTGTTCCTCTGAACTGTGAGTCCCAGGAAGACAGGGCCTGGGCAGTTATAAGTCACAGCTAAGTCTGGGGGTTCATGAAGAAGGTCCTCAGGACGTGATCGGGAGAATGAAGAAATGAATAAACAAATGAACAGAGTATACTCTCTTGGTAGGGTAACCCCCCACCCTGCTGCAGTGGCACTGGGGAGCCAATGGTAAAGAAATAAAAAAAAAAATAGGGTGGGGAAGAGGGCCTCCCACCCAAGTGCTGCAGTGCTGCGTGTCCGCAGCCAGACTCCACCATTTTGGGATGAACCTCACTGAGATATAATCTGCTGAAAATTCAGGTATGTGGGTTCCGTGACTGAAATCTCTAAGCTTTCTGGGGGTCAGGATTTGCTATCTCCCCCCACTTCCCTATACTCCTGGAAGCACCAGCAGTCACCCCCATGAACCAACTCCAGCGTCACCAGGTAAGCTCTTCTACCGACCTTGCTTCAGAAACCTATAAATAAATCTCAAAAGAGATCAAAAGCCACAGTTAATCTAGAACCCACACAAGGCTGAATAGACCCCGATAAATCTGAGTGGGGTGGGTCAGCCTGGTGTCCACCAAAGCAGAACCCCTGGCAGCCACTTGCTCCCATAATTCAAAATCACCACCATGCCCCCAGCCAGACTCTACCATCTCGGGACAGATCTCACCAAGATATATAATCTGCTGGAAATTTGGGTATGAGGTCCTTGTGACTGCAATCTTCAGGCTCTCTCGGGGCAAGGATGGGCTACCTCTCCCCACTTCACTGTACTTTGAGAAGCCCCAGCAGTCACGTCCATGCCCCAATGCTGCCACTCAGTTTTTTAAAAACTACTCCAGCCTTACCTTCCTGATAAAAATACCCTGAACGCTTCAAACAAATGCAATGACTGCTTAGTACCTGTATTGCAAACCATAATGCACAAAAAGAAAGGGAGAAAAAGAAGAAAAATACCTTCCATAGAGGCAGGCTGCGGGTGGGAGATGTTGGGGAATGGTGGGAGGGAAACAAGGACACTTGTGCTGGGAAAAATACACTGGTGGAAGGTTGGGTATTGGATCACTGTATGACTGAAACCCAATCGTGAACAGCTTTGTAATATCTAGATAATCAATAAAAATAATTTTTTTTTGCTTTTTGGGTCACACTCGGCGATGCAAAGGGGTGACTCCTGGCTCTACATTCAGGAATTACCCCTGGCGGTGCTCAGGGGACCATATGGGATGCTGGGACTCGAACCTGGGTGAGCCGCGTGAAAGGCAAATGCCCTACCTGCTGTGCTCCAGTCCCCGATAAAAATTTTTTTAAAAGATGAGGTGACCTTTAGTATCTCATCTGAGAGGCATTCAATCCCTCTACCTCCTTATGTAAGCTACACAAGGGGGTGAGTGCACTTAGTTACTGGGTCTGAACCCACCAATCAAGGGATCAAATAAAGATCTATTTCAAGGATTGGGAGTGTCTATCATCAAAGTTTGGGGCCTTAAATTTCTTTTTGTTTGTTTTTGGGTCCACACCTGGCGGTGCTCAGGTATTACTACTAACTCAGCTCTCAGGAAATTACTCCTGGAAGTTCTCAGAGAACCATTTGGAATGCTGGGGATCAAACCCAGGTTGGCCATGTGCAAGGCCAGTGCCTTCCCCACTGTATTATTGCTCTGGCCCGTCATGGTCTTTCATTTCCTATCCATGCAAAAATATTTGTCCCATAGACAACTTAATCTTGTTTTGGAGGGACTAGAGCAATAGTACAGTGGGTAAGGTATTTGCCTTGCATGCAGCTGACCTGGGTTCAATTTCTGGCATCCCATATGGTCTCCCGAGCACTGCCACTAGTAGTAATCCCTGAGCGCAGAGCCAGGAGTAACCCCTGTGCATTGTCAGGTGTGACCCAAAAAGAAAAAAACAAAAATCTCTAAAGTTACAGATGCTCTAAAGTTATAGATACTGACAGGACCCGAAGTGGACATTCCATCTTACTTGAGCAAAGGGCCTGTGGACAGACCCTTCTTCTTTTAGAGGGATTCATAGGCAGCCTGAAACTTCAGCAGGAAGCAGCCAGATGACTCCTTCATCCCTATTCCCTCACATTGGAGCCCCCTGCCTAAGAGGGGGGATGATAGAGACAAAAGGGGTACAAGCTGGGCAAGATTCGTATTATTTCACAGCACAAAAGAATTGGCAGCCGGAAAGTGGAGGGGAGGCGAGACCTGCTAACCTGGTAGCCACATCCTGCCACACGCCTACCCCAGAAACTGCTCATCCCAGCATACTCTCCCATAGTTAATGGCCCCACATTCTTGGAGCATAATAATAAAGAAATGCTCACGCACCCCACAATCTTTGTTAAAAGCTATCAAAGGGGAAGGAATTCGGCCTTTCCTTGGAATCCTGCTTTCAGAGACCCTTCCTACAAGCAGGATGCTTCCTTTCTTTCCTTCGTCCTCTGTAACCTTTCTCTAAATAAAGTCTTTTACTGAAAAATAAATAAATAAATAAATAAAAGGCAAGGGTTTGGTGCCACCAGCAGGTCAACCTGTACCCATGGGGCGAGTACATCAGCTGCCTGATGATGCCTTCAGACTTCCTGATACTCCAAAATTGAGGCTGTGCCTCTGGATGCACCCCAACAACTTGAGAACAAGTTACCAAAGAAATTAAGCAGCCAAAAGTAAGGTTTGTGGGAGCCAAACCCACAAGCCACCCTCTGGCTCAGCTATATAAACTCATATATCCACCTTTTCCCAGAGACCCATAAGTAAATCTCAAAAGAGATCGAAAGCCACAGTTAATATTGGACTCATGAAAGGCTAAATAGGCCTGGATAAGTCAGAAGGGGGCAGGTCAGCCTGGTACCCACCCAAGCAGAGTCGCTGGCAGCCGCTTGTTCCCATAATCCAAAATCGCCACCATACCCCTGACCAGACACCATCATCTCGGCACAGACCTCACTGAGATAAAAACCTGCTGAAAATTTGGGAATGTGAGTTTTGTGACTGAAATCTCCAGGCTTTCTCAGGGTCAGTATGGGCTACCTCCTCCCATCTCCCTGTACCTCCAGAAGCCTCAGCAGTCACATTCACACCCCAAAACTGCCACTCAGTTAACAAAGCTACTCCAGCCTTACCTTCCTGATAAAAATATTGAACACCCTACACAAACACGATGACCTCTTCGTACCTGTAATGCAAACCATAATGCACAAAAGGAGAGAGGGGCTGGAGCAATAGCACAGTGGGTAGGGTGTTTGCCTTGGACGCGGCCGGCCCGGGTTTGATTCCCAGCATCTCATATGGTCCTGATTAATTCCTGATTGCAGAGCCAGAAGTAAACCCTGTGCAAAGAGAGAGAGAGAGAGAGAGAGAGAGAGAAGGAAGAAAGTACCTGCTATAGAGGCAGACTAGGGATAGACTAGGGATAGACTAGGTGGTTGTATGTGTGTGTGGGGGGGCTGTTGGGGATTGATGGAAGGGAAATGGGGGACAATGGTGGTGGGAAATATTCACTGGTGGAGGGATGAGTGTTGGAACATTGTATGACTTGAACCCAATCATGAACTGTTTTGTAATGGCCTATCTCATAGATATTCAATAAAAAAAAATTTTTAAAGAGCATTAGTGTATTCAACGAGGATTTTTTTAAATATAGGTTGGGGCTGGAGTCATTTGAGGGTGACAAAGCGGGGCTGACACTGGGGCCCCTAGGAATCTCAGACTCAGGAAAGGAGAAGAGAGATCAGTTGAAGGGTTTAGAGTCCACAGTATTTTTGTTTTTGGCTTTTGGGGTCATACCCGGCGATGCTCAGGGGTTACTCCTGACTCTGCACTCAGGAATAACTCCTGGAGGTGCTCAGAGGACCCTATAGGGTGCCAAAGATAGAATCCAGGTAGGCCGCGTGCAAGTCCTCCCATCTGTACTATCGCTCTCGCCCAGAGTCCGTGGTCTTTGTGTGGGGCTAGCAGTGCTGGGAACTGAACTCGGGGCGTCACGCACCCAAAGCTGTGCTCGACCTCTGAGTCACATCATTGGTGCCTGAGTGCACAGGTTTCACTCGACTTCTCTTCCTGGCTATGTGCTTCCCCTCCTCATCTGTCAAACGGGTGTCGGGTGTCGTACAAAAAGCCAGGCTCTGTCTCCAAGGGGTGAGCAGAGCCAGGAGCCCTGGGTTCCTCCCCACCGCTCTGAATGCTCTCGCCTGGCACAGGCTTATTCCACCCTCCACCCAAAGGGAAGAGCGGGTCTGCGCATGCCTCTTTCCCCAAAGCAGACTGCTACCACAGTGACCTTGTTTATTGGACTTGGACTTGGTGCGGGAGTAAACTGCCGGGAGGGCTCACAGCAGGACACAGAAGAGCCGCTTGTCACGGAAAGGGTTCTCCGCAGCCGGGACCGGCGTCACCAGCGGGTCATCCTTGGCGTGCGACTCGCAGAAGGCCAGGAGCTCGCCCGCAGCCTGCGACACCTGCAGGCGCCGAGTGGAAACGTCCGCGCCCCGCCCCAGGACCCGCCCCCAGGACCCGCCCCGGGCTCCGCCCTATAGCGACCGCCCCGCCCCAAGGCTCCGCCCCATCGGGACCCGCCCCGCCCATCAGACACGCCCCGGGCCCGCCCTCCTCCACAAGGCTCCGCCCTTCATGCACCGCCCAAGGCCACGCCCCGATGCTCCGCCCCAAGGCCTCCAGGACACGCTAGTTGCGCGAGACCCGCCTCTGCTAAGGCCCGCCCACTCGCCCGGCCCCATCTCTCCTCCGCCTGCTCCTGTTTCTCCCCACCGACCCCTGGTTCGGCCTCCAGGACCCCTCCTCCTCCCTTTACCTGCCCCTTGTCCTTGTCCCGCCCTGGGTCCTGTCGTCTTCCCAAGTGACTCCTGTCCCAAAAGCGGCCCCCACCCCCCCCGGACCCCGGACCCGCAGCGCCTCCCGCTTCCTCCCTCCCCGGCCTGGGCACCTTCATGCGGTCGATGTTCACCTCCAGCTTCAGCTGTTCCACCGTCTTGCGGGCCTCCGCGATCTTGGCCATGTTATTGGACATGGCTGCGGCAATAGTGGGGTGTAGGCGAGGACAAGTCGGGGTGCCTAGGTAGGGGGGCCAGTCACGCAAGGTGGAAGAGGTGCGCAAAGGGGGTGCCAGGAAGAAGGTGAGGGAAGAAAAGGGAGACCGAAGGGAAAAGGGTGGGATGAAGAGACCCACAGATGACAGACCTAGAGGCAGTCAGTAAGGGATGGAGGAGCAGGAGGAGAGGAGAAAGGCGGGATGCAGGGCTGCACCCGTGGGTCCCTAGAGGCCTGCGGCAGAGGGAAAGGACAGGGCCACAGGTGCTGGCTCAGGGTCCAGGTGTCCTCACCCCACCCCACCCCACCCTGGGGAAGAGCAGGAGCAGGAGGGAGCCTCCCCACTCCAATTAGTGGCAGCTCCAGGGAGAACAAGGAATTAAGATCTCCGCAGGAGGGGCACCAAGGGGGCCTCATTAGGGCCTTGGCAGCAGCTGCCCCCCTCCGCCCCCCTCAGGGAGCCCCCACCCCAGCTCTGGCCAACTCAAAGACTCCTCTGCTCATTAGCAGCCAGAGAGAGAGAGAGAGAGAAAGAGAGAGAGAGCTGGGGGTGCAGAATGAACTGGGAGAGGGGATAGAGAGGGACCAATTCAAGGCAGAGGGGGAGACAGTGACAGTCTCTCAACTGAGGCAGGGGACTGGATGGAGAGACATAGGTGGGACAGGCTGGGGCTGGGAGAGGGAAGAGAGGGACAAGGAAAAGGGAGAGGGAAGGACATTGAGGGTGGGAGTCACACAGAAGGGACAAAAGGGACAGAGGTGAGATGTGACAAGGAGAAGGAGATAGAGGTGCCGGGGCAAAGCTGGGCAGGCCAGGTGCAAGGTGGGAGGTAGAACGGGGGATCGAGGGGGCGACAGAATAAGGGAGACTCACAAGCACACAATCATTTGTTCCCTCACACTCATTCATTTGCTCCCAGAGGGACAAACAGGCAGGTAGGGATGGACAGAGGGACTCACTGGAGGGGCCAGGAGCTTCCTACCTGTTGCTGCTGAGGGCTGGGGTGACAGGCTGGTGGCTGCGGCTGCCAGACAGCATCTGGGGGCCCCCAGCCCCGCCTCAGCCCCTCCCCAGGGGCCCAGGGCCCCGCCTCCTGCAGCAGCGGCCAGCCCCAGCCACCACCTGGGTCCTCGCTGTCTCTGCTCCTCTCTTGCTTTGTCCCCGTCCCTGGATCTGCGTCACCCTGTTCTCTGGGCATTGGGATCTATGTTGAACACACATCTCTCAGGTACCCCTGAGGTCACACACAGACTCACAGCGCCCCAGTGCTCCTGCTTCTATTCCCCACCCCGCCTGCCACCCCAGTGTCACCCAGCACCCCCCACCCCTGACTCATACTTGGAGTCTCTGGCTCTAAGACACTCTCTCCCACTCTGCATCCCTTGGTTTCTGAACCACCAGAGTCCAGGTCTCTCTGGGGGCCAGAGTCACCCTCGTGGGAGTGAGGGGGCTCTCCAAATGCCACTACCATCCCTCACAAGCTCTCCAAGCGTCAGCTCCTGGCTGATGGTGTCAAGCGGACAAGTGCCAAGTTGCCTCTATGCTCTCAAAATCTCACACACTTTTCCATCTCCCACCTTGTCACACACAGGCATGCACACCCCAGGTCACATGTCCTGACTCAGGCTACCTCCCCAGGGCCCAGTTCTAGTGCCCAGCTCTCAGCATTCCAGGGCATGTCCAGAGAGTCCACGGCAGTTACAAGCATTCCGCACCATCTCCTGGGACCTGAGTCCCCCACATCTGATACCCATAAGCCTCCCTCTCAATGTCACACATTCACACCATCAAGGGGCCATCTGCAGGCTGAGGCTCACACCCTCAGGCTCACACACAGCTGTCTACCTCATGCCATGTCCCCACACCACACCCCCCATGTGATGTCAGTTTCATGATCACATGTGATGTCAGTTTCATGGTCACATGTAATGTCAATGTCATAGTCGTGTGTGATGTCAATGTCATGGTCATGGGTGATATCCACTTCATGGTCACATGTGATGTCAGTGTCATAGTCACACATGATGTCAGTATCATAGTCATGTATGATGTCAATGTCATAGTCATGTATGATGTCAATGTCATGGTCATGGGTGATGTCCATTTCATGGTCACATGTGATGTCAGTGCCATAGTCACACATAATGTCAGTATCATGGTTACGAGTGATGTCAGTGTCATATTCATGTATGATGTCAATGTCATGCTCATGGATAATGTCAGTGTCATGGTTACATGTGATGTTAATGTCATATTATGGGTGATGCCAGTGTCATGTCAATGTTGTATTCACGGCTCAGAGGTATGGCTGGCTCAAGCTAATGCACACTCATGTGTCCTTTATGTCACATGTCATGCCTCCAGGCATGGAGGCACACCTGTCCTCCAGGCTCACTCATTCACACACCAGCCGCCTGGCTTGTGTCCTCACCAGTTGGCATTCTGTGACCATCTCTCACAGCCTGGCCATGTCACAGAGTCGCGCCCCCCCCCCCCCACATCTCATGCATGAGCCACCTCAGGGAGTCACAGAGAAACCGGCATGTCAGCTCTGTTATTTCACAAGCACAGGTGACATACAAGATCTCCATGTAACACCCCATCTCATAGGTAGACTCACAAGATTACGCAGCCACAGAGGACTTCTGGAATCGCAGGGAAACCACCAGCCTGTCCAGAGGGCCAGCGCAGCCATCCCCATGCAGGCCACACGGGGGCGCGCACGGCCCACAGAGTGAGACAAGGGGTGGAGCTTGGTGGGCCAAACGCTCCCTCCCCTGCGCCACCGCCCCCTTGCCCCGTCCCGCAGAAGATGCTAATCTCGTAAGGCAGAGTCACGGAAAGGTGGCGGGGACCGCAGAAAAGGAGAGAGCTAAGAATTAACTGGCACATACAGTAGGTTAGAGAGATGCCGGAGAGACAGACAAGCAGAGAGACAGAAAAAGACACACTTGAGACAGAAATTGAGAGACAGGCACACGAGGGAACTGGAGAGACGCGGACAGAAATGTAAGGTCAAGAGTTGGGGCGCTTGCGATGCATGCACCCCACCTGGATTAAGATTCCCAGCACCGGAGTCCCGGAGCCCCGCCAGGAGTGGTCCCGAGCCAACTGTGGGGAAGAAGGAGGAGGAGGAGAAGTAGGAAGAAAGAGAAAGAAAGAAAGAAAGAAAGGAAGAAAGAAAGAAAGAGAGGGAGAAAAAGAGAGAAAGAGGGAGAGAAAGAAAGAAAAAGGGAGAGAAAGAAAGAGAGGAAAGAAGAAATGTGAAGTCACTGATATGAGGACAGGGGGACAGACGCGAGCACACCACGCTTTGAACTGGGCTTGAACATTAGAGGCGGAGCCTAAGGGGGCGTGGCCTGAAATAGGGGCGTGGCTAGTTGGGGCGTGGTCTTGTTGTGTTAGGGCGTGGCCAGGAGCAGCCGTGGGAGGGGCGTAGGACTGGCTTCAGACAAGGCCACCGGAGTTCGAGCGCGCGGTGGAGGCGGGAGCCTGGGAAGAAGTGGAGGCGGGGGGAGGGGGGGGGGAGGAGTGTCTCTACCGCAGTCAGCCCGTCCCAATCAGGTTTTTGTTGTTGTTGTTTTGTTTGTCGCCGCCGGGGACAGGGACACTAGATGAGAGGGGACGGGACACTGGTCCAGGTCCCTGGTAGCGATTTGATAGCAATTTGGTTGGCTCCTGGCTCCCCTCACCCCTGCGCCCCCAAGGGAGCAGTGGGGCCAGGTGGGGGAGGAGAACCCGGCTCACATCTGGAAAGCATCAGGCGCGCCGGACGTGCCAGAACTCTGGGCCTGGCTGCAGAAGGGGGAAGGGAGTTCGGGCGCCCCTGTTCCCCCCTTAGCGGGGTCTGCCGGCGCCGGGGAGGAGCCTGGACGCGCGCCGACCATCGGCGCGTTCTGCAGATGGTTTTCATCAGCGTTCTGGCCGGGCCGGGCCCCCCAGGACGAAGCACAGTTTAGGCCAGGGGAAGTCAGGGCTGCCCCAGTCTAGCCTGCTCCGCTCCGACGGCGGCCGACGGACCGACGGACCCTGTCCGACCCCGCGTGATCACCACTCCGCAGCGAGCTGCTCACCGCAGCCCGTTTTCCATAACCTTCGTTTCCAGGGGTACAGTCCTGCCCAGGGCTGCTCAGACACTGTCCCAGCCTTGTGACAGCCTTGTCCTCTCCATGGTCTTGTTCGCCAGTTTTCACTCAAGAATCGTGAAATGAATGCCACAAGAGTAATTGTAGGAATTGGAACGCGGACCAAATATTGCCACCAAGATGTCTGGTGGAAATCTCAAACCTGATCCCTCCAAATCTCAGCTCCCCAATCCACATGCAACCCCCCAAGTCCTCCCACCACTCTCTTACCCTTCTCAGATTGCGGTAAATCTTTGGGGTCATTGTTTGTTTGTTTGTTTTTTGGGGGGCACACCCAGCAGTGCTCAGGGCTTACTCCTGACTCTTCAAGGATCACTCCTGGTGGGACCCAGGGGGGAACCATAGAGGGTGCTGAGGATCTAACCTAGGCCAGCCTCATGCAAGACAAGCACCCTAGCCGTTGTTCTGTTCCTCCTGCCCCTTTGGGGTCATTCTGGACCCCTCCTTTCCTTTCTCACTCCATAACTGATAAAGCAACTAATTTTATTAAGTATTTTTTGGGGGGAGCAGGTGTTTGGGCCACGCCCAGCGGTGCTCAGGAGCTGTTCCTGATTCTGTGCTCAGGAGTGACCCCTGGTGGTGCTCAGGTGAACCCCATGTGGTGGGGTCCAACAGGGCCAGCTGTGCGCAGGTCAGCACCTCAACTCCAGTACAAGCTCTCTGGTCCCCTAACTGCATTTCCAAAACTTCTCTCCATTCACTTCCCTAGTGGGTCTGGGTCTCTACTGCCTCCCCTTTGATCCAGCCGCAGTGTCGCCCCCCCTGTGGCACAGTGTAGAGCCTGCACACTTCCTGGGTGTAACCTTTGCAGGGACCCTCAGCCTCTGAAAAGCTGAGAGGGCACCATGAGACACAGCACTTCCACTACCAGGCACCAGACAAGGAGAAATACAAAGAGACCCTCATGTGAAAACTTATCCCCAAAAGTTCTAGCAGCATTTTTCAAAATAACCCCCCATTGAGAGAGTGAAAGGAAATGTGCCTGCATTTGATAGCAATTTGGTTGGCTCCTGGGGGTGGGGGGAGGGATACTGGGAACATTGGGAACACTGGTGGTGAAGAATGGGCACTGGTGGAGGAATGGGTACTCGATCATCGTATGACTGAAACGTAAGCACGAAAGTTAAGTCTGTAACTGTACCTTACAGTGATTCATTAAAAAAAATTTTTAAAAATTTAATTAAAAACAAAAAAAACCCAAAATAATCCCTTCCCCGAGAATACAACCCACTGGTCCTTTGATGAAAGGAAACTCTGAGATGTCCATTTCAACACTAGGACACCCACAGACGGTAACAAGAAGTGACGCGCGACACACCAGGACCCTTGGCCAGACCTTTTGCAGACGCCTTCTGTGCAATAATGACTTTCCTATGCCCCCAAAGGCAAATCTAGAGTCCGGAAAACAAATTAGTGGCTGCCAGAAGCTAGAGACTTTTGGATGGTATAGGAGGACACTTTGGGGATACAGGGCTTCTTGGGGGGTGATAAAGTTGCATTAAAATGGTAGAGAAGGGCTGGAGTGATAGCACAGTGGGTAGGGTGTTTGCCTTGCACGCGGCCAACCTGGGTTCGATTCCTAGCATCCCATATGGTCCCCTGAGCACCACCAGGGGTGATTCCTGAGTGCAGAGCCAGGAGTAACCCCTGTGCATCGCCGGGCGTGGACGCCCCCCAAAAAAAAGCAAAAAAAAATGGTATAGGGGGTTTTGCTGAGAGTAACTCCCAAGCACCACTAAGTACAACCCAATTTTTTTTTTTGCCAGCCTTGGTGGTATTTAGGGATTACTCCTGGTTCTACATTCAAGGATCTCTCTTGGTGGGCTTAAGGATCTAACCCAGGTCAGCTGCATGCAAGTGCCCTACATGGTGTGCTCTCTGGCTTTCTTTCCCACTTTTTTTTTTAAGAAAAAGCAGAGACAGAGATACAGTACAGAGGGCAGGGTGCTTAGCTTACATGCAGCTGATGTGGG